CAACAGTTAGTGTCAAATCAACTCATCTCTACTTGTAATCGACAAGTGATAAAACAACTACATGGAAGCCCAGCAACAACTGCAAGAAAGAGCCTGCATTAGGAGAGGTTTTCTGCCTGCAATCTGGACCAGCGCTGCATTGCTCGTCTTCAGTTCCTTGTTGTATTTAGGGTTGCATGTCCCACCATTCAAATGGTTCAGCCTTTTATGTATTTGCCTTGCTGAAATGCCTTTTAATCAAAGTAGCTGTCCTCCTTCATCTTAAATGAAGGATGTTTTGGTTTATTAATTAATTACTTACAATTCACAATTTAAACAGCTGATGTGCTAGGTACTATATGGTCAATTGTTTGTGTTGTCCTCAAGGACCAAGGTGGGACTGTGAGAAACGGAAAAATAATCTATTGGACTACCAGAGTCCATAGGTCTCAGAAGGATAGCAGGCCCCCCCAAAAAGCTACATGAACCAAAGTTTTCAAAGTGTATCAGAACTATTTGTAATCCTGCTGAGTTGTTGCTGTAAAATTGCAAACTATGTAGTTTTGAAAAGCGCGAGAAATAAGGAAATGAAAGTAGCTGATGGATAGAGGTTTGAAATGTACATGGATATATGTGGAGACTGTCTGTCAGTAAGAAAGAACAAGGAAATAAATTGTGAAATGCGCGCAGAAAAGTATAAAAAGAATGTCTTGGGATGAAGTCAGGGCCACTGGCCTAGCTACTCCTTGCTGGATTCAGCTATGTCAGTGGACCTCATTGCAATGGGTTTTTGAGATAAGTTGTGTTACAATGGCTATTCATGTTTCAAATTGTTCATGAAATAAACCTCTAAATCTTGAAAGTAAGAATTATTGTTTGTGGTTTGTGTTCCTCTTTATTAAGGTATTTTTTACAACATGGCTTCCCCATTGACTTTGCTTGGCAGAAGGTTGCAAAAAGTGATCATGTGACCCAGGGGCAGTGCAGCCATCATAAATATGAGCCAGTTGCCAATCATCCGAATTTTGGTCGTGTAACCGTGGGGATGCTCCACTAGTTATGTGACATAGTCATAAGTCACTTTTTTCAGTGCCATGGTAAATTTGAAGGTTTGCTAAGTGAATTATATGTCAAGGACTAGCTGTATAAAATATATAGTTAATATATATATATATAAATAATAAACTTCCTTTATTTTTTATGATCTCGGGCTGCATTAGTAGCTATCCAGAGCTGCATGCAGCCTACAGGCTGCCAGTTGGACACACCTGATTTAGAGGCAAGGGATCCTGTTTAAGGTGGTAACTATCACAAAGGCAAACTTGGTTTTAGAGCAGATCTTTAAGTGTGGTTATTAAAACTGCAGAATAGCTAAAGTTTCGTAGGAGTGGGGATTACAATATTATTCTATGGGCCCTGGGTGACAGATACACCTAAAGGTGGGGGTAATTACGCGTTCAGTATTGACAAGTTTTGAAGCACTAGGTGAGTTTTCAGCAATACTTATTAAGTGAAAGAAATTTTAAATAAAGGTTTAAAGATTTTTTAAGTTTTTTTCCTTTTGAAATAAACAACAAAGGGTTGATCAGAACTTTGATTTTGAAAAAGAATGGATTAAAAGCCCAGATGGATTTAGAATAACATTTTGAAATTAATTATAAGAATTCTTCCTGTGAAAGAATGTTTTTGTTTTGAATTCTGTTTTTAAAAAATAAATAAAAAGAGACCCTAAAGAATAGAAACTAAGGGGGAACCAGAAGGAACTAAATATTATAGTTAAAAGAACACCTCAGTTTGACGTACTCATGCAGAATGAAGCAAAATATTTTAATATTTGATTATTGAAGGATATTTTTGAACAATGGACTCAGAAGTCAATTTTAAAAGTGCCTTTATAAGATTGAGACTAATCTGAAAGTGGATTAAAAATGACAACTTCAAGCAAAATAAGGAAAAAAATACTATTCTGAATACTCTGAATACCAAAGAAAGCAGCTGATGTTTTAATAATTAAAATGAATCTTGTAGGAGAAGAACTGGCAGAGTCAAGAAAAGGAATTAAAAGAGGCATTAGTTTAAAATCATTACATAATCGCAAGCTAAATACAACTCTCACACCCTCCCCGAATGCCGTTGACCCTTATCTACGTTTAACCAAGTGCTGACTTTTATTTGAGATGATTCCTGTGAATAGGCTTTTAGCAACATCATTTAATCATTAAACTTTCAAATTGAATGATTTGAATGTGGACCTGATTTTTTGTGCCTAACAGATACAAACCAAGAGAGTGACCTAGACAATTTTCCTCTATTAGATTTGCAAAAGAGGCGTGTTAAAACTTTGAAGAGTGTTATGAGGGGAAAAAACGAAAGAAAGTTTTAGGACTTTTGGAAAGAGTAAAGTTCAAGATCATTAAAATGAAGCAACATAAAATTGGTTTATTTGATTAAGGTTGAAATAGATAGCATTGTTATCTCTGGTAACCCTTAATGAACTTTTGCTGATCAGAACTGAAATGATGAAGCTTTAAGAATTATAGATAAGTGATGGAATATTGGAAGAAATTTTATTTTGGGAAGTGATTAAGCTACTAAAATTGTTTACCCAGTAGCTGAGGGGAAGTCATTTCTTTTACTATATTCTTATCCCGCCCCCCTCCATTTTTCTTTTCTGTGCTTTCTATTTTTTATTCATTTTTTTAATTTGTATTTTTCTCTTTTAAACTGTCATTTTTAATAAAATTACTGTGAAAAAAGGAAAGTTAGAAGAAGCCTGCTTTTAGTAGAGACTTTATTTGCATGCCAAAAACTCCAGATGTAATCTTTGCTTCTCCGTGATTAGAAATGTGCCAAGAGGTTATATGAAGAGCCATCTGCCAGCAGAGAAGGTAATAGAGGCCTGGAGGGATAAGCAGTCTGACTTGCTTCGTTGGCCTCGGTGTCTAATAATAGACTAACCTGGAAATAGCTGCATTATGAATAAACAGAGTGGGAACTGTGCCTCTTTTATTATAAAAATATGTTGTGTTTGTATTCATACCTAAAACTAAATGCATGAACACACCCTTGTGCTAAGATGCCAAATGGCTAATCTTCTGTTACAGGATGAAAATGAGCAGTTCTCCTGCAGCTGAGTGCTTTAGCGCTTTCCTTGCTGGATCTTTTCCTTCATTTTATTTAGTATGATGATTGTTCTACTTTTCCACCCCGGAGCTGTACACAATGTACATTTCAGAGACCCTGGTTCAAGCATGCCAGTGCTCTTATCTGCTTAGCTGCAGGGCTGGATCTCCTACCTCAAATCGTTCTTTGGCCTAGGGATAAATGGCTATCAGTAGATTACTTTTTCCAATCCACAGCAAAGGAATTGATCACCTTGGAATACTGCATCCAGTTTTGGTTGCCATGATGTAAGAAAGATGTCCACACTCTAGAAAGAGGGCAGAGAAGAGCAACAAAGATGGTTAGGGGACTGGAGGCTAAAACAAAAAACGGTAGCTGGAATTGGGTATGTCTAGCTTAATAAAAAGAAGGACTGGGGTGATACGATAGCCGTGTTCCAATATCTCAGGGGTTGCCACAAAGAAGAAGGAGTCAAGCTATTCTCCTGATCACCTGAGGGCAGGACAAGAAGCAATGGGTGGAAACTAATCAAGGAGAGAACCAACCTAGAACTAAGGAATTTCTTGGCAGAACAATTAATCAGTGGAACAACTTGCCTCCAGAAGTTGTGGCTGCTCTAACACTGGAGGTTTTTAAGCAGAGATTGGACAACCATTTGTCTGAAATGTTATAGGGTTTCCTGCCTGAGCATGGGGCTCGACTAGAAGACCTCAAAGGTCCCTTCCAAGTTATTCTGTTATCATTTCGATTCTTCAGCTACCTCCTCCTCCCCATCCCCAGGTAATAATGGCTTTTTGGTATTCCTTAGAACCCCATGATCATAAGACACAAAGGTCACCTCACCGTTTCTCACAATAACTTGCTTGTGTGGCACCAGTGTCTATTGCATGTTATAAAAGAAGGCAGAAGGGTCATTAAAAATCTCATCAACACGATCTTTTTTTTTCAAATATACTACCCTTTTTATTATTTTGAAGGAAGCTATAAAAGTACTTTTGTGGGAACAAGGACTGTAGACTATTCAGTATAACGAAAAATTTCAATGGCAGCCTGATAGAAGAAAACAATACCCGCAGTTCCAAAGAAGGCCTAACTTTTTGTGCGGCCTAAGTGGGGAAAGCTAACTTATCTCTGCTGGATACGTCACTTCTTCTTTATCACAAAGGGAGAAGCTAAAAGGTCTATTCTTTTGTCCTTCATTAGTCACCCCATGATCTAGTAAAAAGTAGGGGACTCTGGATTTGGAGTAATATCCTCCTGTTTTATAAAATGATTCCATTAAAAAATCCACCACATATCATGACCACATTTTCAGGTGTGTTGTGATGTGTAGAAGGCTGACATGAAACAATGGAAACTAAGCAAGGAGAGAAGCAACCTGGAATTAAGGAGAGACTCCCTAACAGTGAGAACAATTAACCAGGGGAATGGCTTGTCTTCAGAAGTTGTGGGTGCTTCATCACTGCAGGTTTCTAAGAAGAGACTGGACAGCCACTTGTCTGAACGGCCTCCTGCTTGCACAGGGGGTTGGACTAGAAGACCTCAAAGGTCCCTTACAGCTCTATTCTGATTTAAGACAAATAGTTGGAGTACAGCCACAGCTTTCCAATATGCAGGCACACATGTATTTATATATATTTATATATAACAGAATCTCTACTTGTGAGATTGGCAGATCACTGCAGCATCTACTTCCAAGTGGTATGCTAATCCATGTAGGAAATTTGCCATTTAGAAGAGGCCCTCCCCTTCCTGCAGTTTAAGTTGTATTGCAAGTGTTTATACACCAGAGAGAGTGCAAAGTAATTCACCTCAGCAACTAAGGTGCTACTAGCTGCCCAGGTATGCAAAGGGGTGTGGCACAGTTGGGAGGTTTGCCTGTGAAAGGACCAGTAAGTATCTCAAGTCATACAAGTAGCTCATAATTTCTACGTGCCAGTCAGATGTTGCTAGCTTTGTGGCCCCAGGAGAAATGATAGCAGCAGAAGCCAAGAGCTGAGAGGACTGCAGTTTTGCCCAGTAAGTAAAATTCCAGTAATATTGGGAATGTCCAAGATATAATCTTTGGGATAGGTCTGATGGGTATGACCAAAAGGACCTCTTTGTGAATCTCTCATACTGAAGTGAGATTTGGAGAACAGAGTGAGGTGGTTAGGAACTTCACCATTACGGTATTTCCAAGGACTTTGATAGTATTTTTTCTCAGTACTGAAATTGGGAATAACAGAACAGCAGTTTGGGAATCTAGGCTTTGAACTGAGATCAAGGCAATTTTCCTTCACTCCATGCTTCCAAGTGGTTGAAGTGAAGATTGGAGCACATCGCCTATCTTTCTGGGGGGCATCAGGTTTGAGGAAAACTGATCTAGGTCATCAACATTTCAACAGAAGTGGACATCACTTCAGAAGCCAAGAGTAGCACTTAATATATTTAGCAGGATTGTGAGCCATAATGGAGACACTAATGATACCCCCAAAAGGGTGGGATAGACAGGCAGGAGGAAGGCTGAGGCCATATAGAACCATAGAATCAGAGGCTGGAAGGACCTTAGAGGTCTTCTAAAGCAATTTCTTGCTCAAGGCAGGAATCAGGCAACCATATCATAAATATATCAGCCAGGATGTCCCTTTCTCCCTGAGTTTTTTGGGGAAAGGCAGTCTTCTTTTTCAAAAAAAAAATAATGAGGTTTTCGAGATGTTCTCTGCCGCAAAATTGTGGGAACAGTGCTAGCAATTATAGTTAGCAATTATAGCTAGAAGTGTTACTGAAAAAGAATATTTGTAGCTCATGGTTGAAATGAGGCATCCTTGGTGCTCTCTGAGTTTGGTTTTTTTTTTTTTTTTTGCAGATGTTTCATTACCCAAAGTAGGTAACATCTTTTGGATAATGAAACATCTGCAAGGAAACAGACAAGCTAAGAGAGCACCAAGGACCCCTCAGGTAAAAGAGGTTCTGTATTCACTGTTTGCCTGTTCCACATTGAAGGATCGCACTCTCTGCGAAGGGCACCTGAATCATAGAAACTTAATCAAAAGCTGAGTGTGAAGTTGGGCAACCAGGAACTCAAAGAATGGTTGAAATAAAGTGTGAAATAAAGTTGCAGGCTGCCAATGCAGATAATTCATTATGTAAGGTGGGGACTGAGCGGGTCGGGAGCTCCTAATGGCTTGGCTTGAAAGTTATAATTTTATATAAAGTTATAATTCAGTCACAATCACATTACAGGGTAGAGAATTTCTTCTCTCTGCCCTTTTGAACAGATTATTTCTAAAAGCCTGGAACTGGAGCTGAACCCTCCACAAAAACCAACAATTTGCACTTAGACAAATGACAGATCCTTTAAACTCAGAAAGTGTATGTGTGGCACTGTGCGTTTGAACAAGAAGCGGAAAAAGTGGTCCTGATAAAGGGGCACATTTGGAGTCCGCACATTGTGTACTGCTTTGTTTGCCAAAAGGTAGGATGTCCATTTTAAAAATTAGAAATGAGGCTAAGAGCCAAGATTTGGGAGTAGCACCAAAATGCGTACTGTAGTCTTAAATTCTCTGAAGGAAGATGCAGATAGCCCTTGACTTACAACCACAATTGAGCCCAACATTTTGTTAAATACATTTTGCCCCATTTTACAACTTTTTTTCTCGCAGTTTTTAAATGAGTCATTGTAGTTGTTAAGTGTGTAACCTACTTGTTAACCAAGCCCAGCTTTACTTGTCAGATGGTCACAAAAAGTGAACACAAGATTTCAGGGCCATCATAAATATGAACCAAGTGCCAAGAATCTGCATTTTGACAACATGACTATGAGGATGCTACAACAGTCATAAGTATGAAAAAGTCTGAAAAAACTGAAGAAGTCACTTCTTCAGTGCAGTTCTAACTTTGAATAGACATAAAAGAATGGTTGTAAGTTGAGGACTAACGGTAGTAGGAATTAAAACTAAATCTGGAAAGCAAAATTATAGTAAATGATTTCAGGAAAGTCCATGCTACATGGTCAAAGGCGTTTTGTTATTTTTGTGGTTTCATTGCAACCATTCTAGGATTGGGCGCTTGTTCAAAATGAAGAATAGGTTTTGAGCATAATATCCAGATTTCCTAGTAAAGAATCAATATCTAGCCATGGTTTAGTAGTGATTCAAGCTGCCTTTGGTCAAAGGATTACCTGTCTATGTTTTTTAATACCTTACATGCCAACAGCAGATACACCATCTGTGACATTGGAAATAAGGGTAGTCCTTGTTTTATGACCACAATTGAGCCCAACATTTCTGTTGCTAAGTGAAACATTTGTTCGATGAATCTTGCCCCATTTTATGACCTTTCTTGCCACACTAGTTAAGTGAATCACTATGCAGTTGTTAAGTTAGTGACATGGTTGTTAAATGAATCTTGCTTTCCCATTGCCTTTGGAAAGTCCCAAAAGGTGATCATATGACCACAAGGCACTGCAACCGTCCTAAGTATGACTCAGTTTCCAAGTGTTTGAATTTTGATCGCGTGACCATGGGAAGGCAGCAAGGGCCATAAGTGTGAAAAACGGTCATAATTCACCTTTTTCAGTGCCATTGTAACTTTGAACAGTCACTTAATGAACTGTTGTAAGTCAAGGACTACCTGTACAGCACAGCCACCTATGAACATTTGTCCCTAAGGCTGTCAATACAGGAAAGATGGTTAGCTGTTCTTTAAAATCCATCTCATTTGGATAACTAGCAGAAGAAAGGGGAGATGGTTAAGCAGTGGTCCTTCTCCACCTGAACCTTAAACCCAAAATATCATTTAAATGAAAAATCAACATTTCCCATCACTTCTATACTGATAATATTTGCTAGATCCATGTGGACAAATCCATGGCTGGATCTTCTATGTAGATCTTGCAAAGAATTGACGATCCAGCTCCCTCCCCGCTGCTCTTTCCTTGCCACAAGAAAAGAGTATTTTAAGCCTTTGCCTTCAAGCTTTTAACCCAAAACACCTTGTGCAAATTTCTCTTCCCCGAAAGAACATTTGTGATATAAAACCAGGGAGTGGTGGCATTGGTCAACTGTTGAAAGTGGCAAACCCACCTTTAATAAACAAAGTTGTCACCTGGTGTCATGAAGAGGTGTGGAAATGTGCAAGATTCTCAGGAAGCAGCAGTGCTAAGTTATTTTCCTTTCTTCAACAGGCAGGCACTCAAAAGTACACACCCTTCCGAAAAACACTCAGCACGCTGTTTTCTTATTTGCAGTGCTTTGTGTACATACATATGGGATTTTTTTATAGTTTTCTTTATAAAAGATAATGAAAACAAAGATAAAAGGGAAATGGGGAAGGGGGAAGTGGGGGAAAAGATAAGTATGGAGTGGGGAGGGAAAAAACAATTAATTTCCAACTTTTTCAGCACAGTAAAATAAAAATGATAAAATATAGCCTCAACTTTTACTTACCTAATCAAACCTTGTTTTTTAACAATTTTTTAAATGGCGATAGCACTTAGAATTTATATACCGCTTCACGGTGCTTTGCACCCCTCTCTAAGTGGTTTACAGAGTCAGCATATTGCCCCCAACAATCTGGGTCCTCATTTTATCTACCTCAGAACGATGGAAGGCTGAGTCAACCTGGAGCCGGTGAGAATTGAACTGCCAAACTGCCAGCAGTTGGCAGTCAGCAAAAGTAGCCTGCAATACTTATTCTAACCAGTGCACCACTAAGGTTAAGTGGTGGCTAGCTGTTAGTATGCTCACGGCTTATTGGTAAATGGCACCATTAAAGACACAATTGCAATGGTCTACTCAGTAGTCTCGCTGCATCACCCTACTGACACCTTTGCAGGCTTCCTCACTAGGAAATAGATAATATGTGTATACAGCAAGCTGACTGCTTTTATTAGCTTCTCCCCCAAAAGACAAGATGGGTTGATCTAATAAACTAACAGTGGGTGCAATGGGAAACAGACCTTAGCCACACACCTTCCGGATACCCTGATGTGGATTAAAATCCTCAGGTAATTTATGCACTGAGAAGTTATACTAGTAAACATTTCCTTAATGGATGGACTTCATTTTGCATTAAATCTTTGTACAATTTGTTTGTTTTGGCTGCCTGATTATATGAACTCTACCAACTCTGGCTTCTACACCACAATTTACAGTTTTGCATGTTGGTGCAAAACATGAGATTTTGAAATCATGTTTTATAGTTTTGCATTGTTGATGCAAACCCAGCCAAATCTGGTTTCTAAATTATAGCTTTTTAACTGGTGTAGAACTAGGCTGCTATGGTTTATTCAATTAATTTACAATTAAACAAATAGTAGTTTAGTGTGATTTGTAAACTGAATCATTGGCTGTTTTTCATTCAGTACTGTTATTGTTAGTTAAGGCACTACTTCCCAATCTTGACAACTTTAAGATGTCTAGACTTCAATTCCCAGAATTCTCCAATGTGCTGCTGGATTCTGGGAATTGAAGTCCACACATGCTGCCTGAAGGATTCTGGGAATTGAGGTCCACACAAGCTGGCTGAAAAATTCTGGGAATTGAAGTCCATATTTTAAACTTGCTGGGGTTGAGAAACACATGTTTAATGTGTGGCATTTTCAAAATGGATGATCTTTAAATGTATTGGACTCCGGCTATCATTTTTCATGCGAATTGCATACTCAGAAGATTTAAGTCACAAAAGGGTGCTCTAATGGATTCCAGTAGTGAGGAATTATCTCTTAATAGAATACAGTTACTTTACTCTGGGGACAAACAAAAGGTTATTTCAAGTAATTTTTTTTCTGTGTTTCCTAGGCAACAGTAATTTTGGGCCAGGCCCCACATTGGCAGTACAGCTAAATAAACTGCTAATTTAAACCATTGGGTGTGTTTCATTATGTTTTTGAGAACAACAAACAACCTATTAGCTGGGTTTGTACAAATTCAACCATGAATCATTGTTTATAAAGTGCAATTCTGCAGTCAAATGCATCAAGTTGAAGCCAAGCAAATTAAGTTATGGATTGGTCTGTTGTGTAAACTGAGGCTTCATTTGATCAAAGCTGGCCAAAACCAAGATCAGAATTTCAATCGTTGTGTAATGTCGAGCCAGGTACAATTTCTCAACCTAACCTGCCATCCAGGATTGTGGTGAAATTAAAAGAAAGCCACGTAGGGCACCCCCAGTCTTTCGAAGCATAAAATATCAGGTATAAATGTAACTGAAGACATGTAACTAGCCCATAAATCAATACAAATGATCAGTTAATGAAGAAATTAAAGAATGTGTAAACAAACAATATATCTTTCTGGTACTGGCATTTCCTGTTTTCCCCAGGCTGGGCACCTGAAACCAGGATTTTCCAGGGATAAAATCTCTTGGATTTAAATGTAGCTCCTCAGATGTGAGCGATTTATTTATGTTTTATTTATCCCACCTTTATTATTTTTACAAATGACTCAAGGAGATGAACGTATTTAACCTACACCTTCCTTCTCCTATTTTCCACACAACAACAACTCTGCAAGGTGAGCTGGGCTGAGAGAAAGGGACTGCTCCACAGTCACCCAGCTGGCTTTCCTGGCTAAGGTGGGACTTGAACTCAGTCTCCCCCTTTCTTTTCTGGTGCTTTAACCGCTAGATCAAGCTATGATGCAAAGTGCTTCACCAAATCCTGCAATTCTCAGACTGAATTTTTCAAGAATATTACTTAAGCAACTTCAGATGAGATGAAATGGACTGGGAAGATAAAAACCGGAAACACAGCATTGGGCAGAAAATGATCCCCTCAAATAAAAAAACCTATAGAATTTCTGTTTAGAACTTTTGGCACTGTAATTAGAGTTGGGTTTTATTTTGAATTTTGACACCATAATGTTCTTGCAGTGGGAGATCAGGTCTTGGCTGCTGTTCTTTTTGCTGTGGGAAAAAAGCCACCTGTTCTTGGAGTGACTGCTGATTTTTCTTCTCTTTCTTTGAAAAGGTTGTGGTGTGAATTTCAGATAAAGTTGCTGACATCATGAATGACATAGGAAGGTAAGTGTGTGAGAAAAATATTCTATATTTTAACACCTGCCTGATTAAAGAGATAAGTGATGAAATTTTTGGGACCAACTCTACCCAAATGTTAGACCAAGTATTGTCCAAGGTATTGTGTGAGAATCTGATTCTGTATCTGATTCCTTCTGGTTGCTTCTGCTGGTGACATCTATGAAAACTAGCCTTGGTTTCCAGTATCACAAAAAACTCAGTGTACTCTATTCCTCAGAAGAAGTGTGATAAAACACTTTTGTGTAGTAAATATTTAGGATCCTGGGGGGTGGGGAGGAACTCCTAAATGCAATCTGGAAAATGATTGCACATCAGGATAGATAAGGGAATTGTTTATATCAGGGGTCTCCAATCTTGGCAACTTTTAAGACTTATGGACTTCAACTCCCAAAATTCCTCAATCAGCCACGCTGACTGAGGAATTCTGAAAATTGCAGTCCACAAGTCATAAAGTTGCCAGGGTTGGAGACCCCTGGTTTATAGCACAGACTTTCCCCAATTAATCCAATTTTCAAAGTTGGCATGCTAATAACATTCAACCAGAAACTAACTATATTGGCTATAGCATTGCCTTTTTAGTGGTTCAGAGCAGCTATGATGAAATGAAATGAACCCAGTACTTCATCAGCAGCGTTATTGTTCCTGGAGTCCAAGGGACTTCAAACTTGGCAAATTTAAGACTTACGCACTTCAACTCTCAGAATTCCTCAGCCAGCCATGCTGATTGGGGAATTCTGGAAGTTGAACTCCACAATTCTTGCCAAGTTTGGCAACCCCTTGCTATAGTCAGATACAATAGCTATCAGTATGTTGGTGAAGATTCTCAGTCATCCAGGTGAAGCATCCAGGTACCGTCATCCATAAGCGCACCAACGTGCCTACCGTCCCTGTCCTATTGTTTCTTTTATTTTTTTATTTTTCTTATATGTATCCATGTATTCATAACTATGTTTTTGCTTATACCTATTATCTTGTAAGCAATTGACAAAAATAAAAAAAATAAAAAAATAATAAAGTGGTCTAAAAGTTGACTTATGGCAATTGGAGGTTGTTGGGTTTTTTTGGTTTAAATGTTTTTGCCTGCTTATCTAGGTACTTAAGAAAAAGACTGAAGAAGTTATTTGAATAAGCAGAGAAATGTTTCAAACCAAAAAAAAAAAAAGAAAAGAAGTCCAGTTGCCACGACTCAACCTCTAGACAATAGCTATCAGCCTTCCCAGGTAGTTTATACAGAAAATATGTCCAGGTGAACTAATTCTACTTTTTTGTAAGGCTACATTAGCAGAATTTTGCAAGTCTGAAAGCACAAATCTCTCACCATTTTTTTAACCACATTTAAGTTAAGGATATATTTTTTTTCTTCTTTTTCGATCCATTATGCAGCCAAGGGTTATGTCATCTCTCCCCTCCCTTTATTTATGTAGTTTTTCAGGTGACAACTGATGTTTTTAGAAAGCTTTGAAAGGCATGATTCAGCCAAGATCTGATTAAATTAAGGAACATGGCTAATAAATTTTAATGTTTCCTTCTTCAACTTGCTGATCTCTAGGTATATTGGGTTATAAATCTCAACATCCCCAGCTAACAGGGTGCTTGGGATTTATAGGAACTGCAGCGCTGTATACCAACTCTGTAGAAGATTTATTAAAGACCTTTTCCCCAGACCCTGAACAGGTCTTCCCAGGTGCTCACCTTTCTAAGGCGATACAAAGCTGTAGGAGACCTCTGAAAAACCCAAAAGAACTTTCCTTTCTAGAAATTTAAGCAACTCTGGCAACCCTCATTTCTATTGAGATGTTAGCAGGATTGAAAACAATCCCTGTAATCTTCATTAGCATCTTCATTGCTCCTTGGTTTGTCACTGCCATTTCCTGTCCAACTTACTGCAGGCAAAGCTATAGATCATCATAATAAATACCTAAGGAATGGCCACTAACTCAGGTCAAGGTATGCTAAGAATCAATATAGTATTCTGCTCTCATTCCAGTAGCCTTTGGCAAGTCTAGGGGCACAACTACAGTAGCATTATTCCTTCCTCCTTTCTGCCTTGACAAATGAGTGTATGTCATTGGGACTATTATTCAAATACAAGTCTGACATTAAGGCTTAAGGGCTACTGGTTGTGATAAAAATCATCCAGATGGAAGGGTGTAACCTTGCTTGGGGGCCCAATGAGGATTAAACAACATGTTATTGTTTTAATGTCTTTTTAATTGTCTTAGAATTTAAGAATAGTAAGCTACCTAGAGTCACTTGCTTGAGATGGGTGGCTATAGAAATTGAATGAGTAAGTAAGTCAATAAAATCAAGTAGCATTAATTATAACATTGTTTTTGGAATATATTGTGGATTTTGTTGAAATAGCCTAGCAATATAACAGTATATTACTGAAGTGTTATATTACTGAAGGGTTATATTACTGAGGTATATTACTTATATTATAATGCAAAGTACTTTATATAGCTTTAATCTCTAAGCAGTTTACAGTGTCAGCATATTGCTCCTAATAATCTCGGTCCTCATTTTACCAGCTTTGGAAAGGAAGGCTGAAACAACCTTGAGCCTGTCAGGATTGAACTGCTGGCTATGGGCAGAATTAGCATGCAATACTGCATTCTAACCACTGCACAACCAGGGCTTCTGCAAAGATACTGCAAAGAACAGAGCTAATAAGCCTCTGTGATTCTCAGGGAGCCTGGAAGCCAAGCAAAGTTTGAGAAGGCAGGGAATTTAGGCTGGAGAAACTAGGGTTGCCATCTGATTTGTCTGTTTTCTCTCCCAGTTTATTTGGTGATGTTCACAAGCCCAGTGCCAGAACCATCTATGGTGAGTATGAAACCATGGGAATATAACCAAGGGAATGCCTTTGTTTTGGGATGATTGTTGGACTGAAAGTTATTCCATCTTGCAGCTTTTCCATCCTTAACAACTCACAATTCTCTAGTCTTATCAACCACAGTGCCCATCTCCTGCTACAATGCTTTATGCCTGCAATCCCTTTTCTGGTTCCCAATACCTTGTCTTACATATACCAGTAACTACCAATTCTGAGATGCAGAAATCCAGATGATGGCTAGAAGGCAGCAAAGATTTCTGCAGCCAAAACTGAATAGGTCTAATCTAACATTCCTTTCTCTCCTTGTGGTCTTCAAGTTTTCGGTTTAATTTATTATTATTATATAGATAACAATGTGGAATCACGACTGCCAGTGTTTTAACTAGTGTGGAGGCCCACATACATATCAAGTTCTCCCCAAGAACCTAGGCTATCATAATATATGTGTGGATCCAGGCAATGTGGCCTTTTGTAATTGTCAGATGAAAAAGTTGTCAATGCACAGCTTTCTTAAGCGCCATCCAAGATTTTTTGCTATGACATCCATAACCTTTGAACTATGGCACTCGTTTACACCATAATCTTTCAGCTTTGATTTTGATACTTTGTGAAATTCTCCATTCGTCATCATCATCATCATCATCATCATCATCATCATGCCCCAGTAAGACCCTACCTTGAAGTGGTTGTAGGGCTCATGTGCTCTGAGGAAGATGAAAGCTATGCCAGAAATTCAACCATACTGGAAAGGTCTCATTAGAGGAGTCAGACAAAGAGTCTCTCTCCCATTAAAAAAATATGATGAGAGTATATTTCAGAAAGGCAAACCGGCTCGGATGTCACCCGGAATAATAAGGTCCACGCTAGATGTGGGAGTTCCTGGATATCTGGTGAAAAATAGGCCACAGGACTCAGGATTGTTGACTGAGCAACCAGGACCAGCAGCTACAGAGTTACTAGAAGAAAAGGTGTTTTGCCTGTCACAAATATACAGAGATTGAAAACAAAGAAATAAAGATATGTTATTACAGATCAAGTGAAACAAGACGAGCATATTTGAAATGAATGCACCAGTTCTAGAAAGAATGACATCCAGAATCAGAAATAACAGAACAGAGTAATAATGGTGGTGGTGGTAAGACCATAAAGTAAAGAAAGTAATGGAAAACAAAGAAGCTAAATTGCTCTGGGACTTTAGAATTCAAACAGACATGGATCTGCCACAAAGCATACCTACTTAACATACCATATTTAACAATACTTGATAAAAAATAGTCTGCGTAGTGGACATGGCAGTACCTGAAATCAGCAGAAGAGAAGAGAAAGAACTGGAGAAGATAAAATACAAAGACCTGCCAATAGAAGCTGAACAACTGTAGCAAAAGAAAACAAAGGTAGCACCAATAATAATAGGTGCCTTGGATGCAATCCCGAAACAATGGAAGCATCACTTGAACACTATTGGCATTGGCCATTTCACCATCAGTCAATTGCAAAGGGCAACTTTATTTGGAGTAACTTACATCCTGTGATGATACTTCTAACACCATCAGACATCCACATCTGCCTATCCTTGCAGACAAAAATGACATCCAACGTGAACATCTGACATGTTTGGTTGCAACTAAATACAATCCTATGATTATTTAATATTATTAAAAACAACATCCATCAAACCTAGGTCATTGGGAAGGGCTTGATAGGTGGATTAAAATGCCAAAATCCAGTCTAAACATGTGGCTGACTGTACAACCAGACATGATAATATTATTATTATATGCTCCAATAACTTCTTTTATTTATGTTTAAATTTATTCCTCCTCTTTCCTTTGCTCTGTTATACACTCTGATTCATTAAGAAAAACCTGGTAATTGTCTGAAAAGTACTATTAAATGCAAATCAGTTTCTCAGCTGTACAGTGTTTAATTAGTATTTTTTTCAGTATACATCTACATGTTATGAAATTCAAGGAATGTTCTTTCAACTGGTGCATATTTTTTAACCATGCATATTACATTATCCTGTATTATATACTATTATAACATTATATTGATTTGGGATTTTATAGCACTTCCAATCCTAGTTGATAGAGGTGCTGAATAACATTTATAAATAAACGAAACACTTGTCTTTGAGGGATAATTCTGTGGATGATGTTACAGATAGCCTTTGACTTACAATGGGTCACTTAACAATGATTTGTTATGACTGACCTCCCAGGGAAATTGTGGGGAGATAATTATGGGAATTATTCCCTAGAAGAATTATGACGGGGGTCCAAAGTTTTGACAGCTGCATCCCCCTGTTGCAACTGGTATTTATTTCTAGGTTTTGGCAAAACCAGCCCCTAGCAAACCATCGGCATAGCAAACCATTGGCTTGTTTAATGACTGTGGCACTGTCTTAATGACCTCCATATAATACATTGTAAAATCAAATCAGACATGTGAGTGACCTGTTTTACAACCGGCGTGACTTATCACTGTGATGGGCAAGCTCCATTAACCATTTAAAATTGAGGATGACCTATATAACATTCTGAAATGTTAATTCTGCTGAATAGGAATGAATATGTCTGTTATATATTAGCCAAACTTTCTGAACCTGTGGGCAGATCTGAACTTTTATGAGCAAAAGCACCTGGGATTCTCATAAAGTTATAAAACCTTATTTACTAGTTGGCAAGTTGATGACACTGTTCTACCATCTCTTCTGGTTTCCGTGATCACAATCCCTTTTCAGTTTTTCTTACTGTTTTTGGTGGGGCCATTTCTGTACAAAGGACTAAGTGATATAAACCACAGTATTTTAAAAATAATATCTGTTTGGACCTACATAAGGCCCATTTGTTTATTTTTAATTAAGAGTCCAAAATGTAACATAAGAAAAGAAGAGTGTGCAAGATTCACACCTGGAGGGAATTTTACTGGGGTTTTAGACTACAGGTAGTCCCCGACTTACAACAGTTCAGTTAGTGACCTTTTGAGGTTACAATGGCACTGAAAAAAGTGAGTTATGACCATTTTTCACACTTATGGCCATTGCAGCATCCCCATAGTCCTGTGATTTACATTCAGATGCTTGACAACTGATTCAAATTTATGACGGTTGCAATGTCCTGGGGAATCTTGTGATCGTTTTTTGCAACCTTCTGACAAGCAAAATCAATGGGGAAATGCAGGGATTCACTTAACAAAGACAGCAAGAAAAGTCATAAAATGGGGCAAAACTCACTTAATAAATTTCTCACTTAGCAACATACATTTTGGGCTCAATTGCAGTTGTAAGTTGAGGACTACCGGTAGTTGTACTGTACGTGTCTACAAACATGATTTTACGCTGCAATACGCATTATGTATTGATTTTGATGTCTTCTATACATGTTAGGCTATAATTTCCATCAAGCCCAGCAATTATGGTTATATCTGGGAAGCGCTAAATCAACTGAAGTTGCCTGGGGCTCACAAACCAGTGGTTTTTGGAAGATGTTATAGTAACGTGGTGTGCACATGACCCTAAACTATAATAAGTGGACATATGATGAGCCAAATAGGAAGAAGCTACATTATAGCTTCAGGGTCTATGTAAACAAGCCATTGTTTCTGTTCATGCATATTTCTCTTCTGCTTGTCAAACACTTAACCAACTAATTCAGATCCCTCCAGCCCTCTTGAAGATTAAGGGACAATATTTTTTGGAAATACACAGTTCCATTGTTCTGTGCATCCCCTCTTTTCAAAAGAACCCTGCCTGGAGTGAAAGGGTAGATGTGGGCCGCCCTTCCATTCACTCAGCCTGCTTCTTGCTGCTCCAGGTTGGACTGTCAGCATTTCCAGAGGGTGACCTTCCTTATCCAAATAGAAAGAGTTTACTCATCTATTTGGATAAGGAAGGTCAACTTCAGTGCTCTTTAAAATGTTCATATCCTCATTAAAATGAGACAAAGATGAAACTAACATTTTTATGTTCCTTTTGTGTCTCAAGCCAGCATTTCAGTTGCGTCCTCCTATATATATATTTTTGAAAAATAAGATTTTTTGAAAAATAAGATTTTTAAAAAATTCTTTCTGCAGAACAGAGGAAGAAGTATTCCAACTTCATTGTGGCAGATGTCTCTCAGTATGCTGTCAATGTAAGTCTTTTTTGTTGTTATTTTGGCATTTAGGTTGTGTTAAAGTATGGCCAAGACAGAACTGGGACTCGGAAGCTTCAGGAATTAAAAGTATGGGAGGTCATTTGTAGAGGGCTGTTTCTTGGTTAATATACCTTTGCTAGAATTTCTCCGGAATATTTTTTATGTGTATTGAGATGTCCAGGTAATATCCAATAAGAAATTAATCAGGGCTAGTTTATTATTTCCCCTTTATTTGCTACTATTTTTAAAAAAATCCTCAGTTGCTTATTTTATATTCCACCTATTCATCTCCCTCATAAGAAGTCCTTTTCCTCTGGAAGAATAGGAATAAAAAATAATGTCAGGTTTTAACCCTACTAATTTACTACAGATCCGTAAAGGTAAGGTTTTGGTTTTTTTTTTTTTAAAAAAGGATGGGTACCATATTACGTGAAACAGAGGAATCCCAAGAATAAAATGAGGTCTGTATTCAGTGCCCCCCCTAATCTTTTGGACACCAGGGACCGGTTCCTTGTGGGGAAGTTTTCCCAGGGACCAGAGGGGGCGTGGTTTCGAGTGCTGCCTGCATCCCGCGGATGGAGCTTTGCTTGTTTTCATGGCCCAGTTTCTGGCATATCATGGACTGGTGCCGATCATTGGGAACCCCTGCCATACATGCTATAATACAATAACTTGCGTAGCAGCATTCTGATCAGCTATAGATTCCAAGCAGTCTTCAAGTGCAGTCCCATATAGGATGCATTGTAGTCATCTAAACAAGAGATGACTAAAGCATGTGTGTCTTCTGGTCAAGATGAATCTGTACAAACTCTCCTGGCTACCATTGCTTTCTGTAATACGAGGAGTTCCTGCAAATTATACCCGAGTTCCACTTAAGTAGATGCAACCTTATAATAAACTTAAGTAGGAAAATCCTTGGAAGAGAAATGTCCTTGAATCTACAATCTCCTAGCCTTTGCTAGGGTTGAACTTGACCTGTTCCTCCCATCCGGACTCTAACAGACTCTATGCACTGGGACAAGATCTTTTTGGTACCCCCTGTTTTTACCTGAGAGTTGTGATATACAACTGGAAATCATCCCCATATTAATGACACATGGCCCCACATCACTGGATGGTCTTGATCAACAACCTCACATAGATGTTGAATACAAGTAGCAAGAGAGTCAAGTTTTGAAGAACACTGCAAAGTCTCAGGGTCTCAGCCTCAGTCCCTCCTGATAGTACCTGGAACCCACTCTGCAGAAAGGAGAACTGATGTAGTACAATACCCCTCAACCCCCCAAAATCAATCAGAAATCAAGTGGAACCAGGAAAATCATATCATCCCTAACCTGGTTCAATAAAAGTTCACTTACAAACATGATCATTGTCATGTCAATGGATATCTCTTCCTGAAACCAATGAAAATGATCCAAATAATTCATTTCCTCTATACAGCCCTCTGGAATTACAGCTCACCAACTTTTGTACAATTTTCCCCAGAAAAAAAAAAGAGATCAATTGATAATTATCTAATGCTGCTGAGTCCAAGGATGAGGAGGGGATGTACTACTGCTCCTTCAAGGTATGTGGGATCACCCACTCATCAAAAATGAATTTACTATTGCTTGGACTCAGAGATTACTTACTCCTCTCTATATTGAAACTAGACCTGGAAGCCTGATGCTTTCTTCCCTTTATGTCAATATAAAATCTCAGCCAAAGGCTAAATTGATGAATAAACACAGCAGAACACAACACAACAGAACCATAACCATAACATGTTGTTGGAGGAAAGGGAAGAAAAATAAAAGGAAGAAGAAAATGATCCAAGCAAAAACTTATTGTTCCTGGAAGATCTGAATAAACTTTTCCCAGGTCTAAAATAAAATACTGCTGGGGTCAGATATGCAGGAGCACATTAGAAGTCGGATTAATTATGGTGATGCCATTCAGCCAGCATCTACTAAAGTTGTTTGTGCTTCAATCTTCAACATGTAGATTGGAGAACATGGGATCATGATATTGGTCCCCAATACTATAAACTGGCTAGATTTCAGAGTAAAAAGGATGCATTAAAGTGTTTCCAATAGCTGCTACATTTGCACTTCCATGTGCACCTTCTGGAGATAGAACCCAAAGCACTTTACAGCACTATTACCTACATCTTGGTCTTAGTAAGATGATGGGGTTTCTTGGACCATATGGAAAGTGATGAAATAGATGAGTAGTAGCATTAGTGGCAAATAATGGATCTGTTTGTGTCTCTCTCATGTCTATATACTCCAGCACCTGGTGACCTTCACCATTGGAGAAGAGGACGATTTGACATCTGTGGAGGATGCTATCAGGAAACTGTCCCTCATGGATAAGCAAGGGAAGATCTGGGTTCAAGAGATGCTGCTCCAGGTCAACGGGTCGGCTATCAAGCTCCTTGACATAAACTCAAAGGTGCAGAAAGTTACCCAGAGCAGCAATGCTGGGGGATAATGAAGATTTGGGGGAGAAATGGGTGTCACCTGTGTCCCAATTCCTCTTCTTTGGAAAGAATCCATATTAGATGGATGTCCTTGACTGACTTTCTCTCCCCTGATAGGAGGAACTGGAGAATTATGCATTGGCAACAGTGGCTTATTGTGAGGCTGTCTGCCCTGAGTCCCGTTCCCAATCCCTGCTTCTACTCATGTGCCAGGAAACTACTCAGCTCAGACCGGATATCCATTTCTTTCAGTGTGATCAAATTAGGGTAAAATAATTCATTTTATTTATTTCTTTTATTTTATTTAGTTTAGTTTATCAAGCATGTATGAGAAAACAAGTATAAGTATGGACATAACATATAAACATATAAGTATAAACAGTTATAAGTATGTACATAATAATTGAGTACAAATAAATGGGAACAGTAGGACAGGGATGGTAGGCACACCGGTGAGCTTATGCACACCCCCTTACAAAACCTCTTAGGAATGGAGTGAGGTCCACAGTAGAGAGTTTAAGGTTAAAGTTTTGGGGGTTTGAGGATGTAACAATAGAGTCAGGTAGTGAGTTCCAGGCGTTGACCACTCTGTTGCTGAAGTCGTATTTTCTGCAATTGAGTTTGGACCAGTTTACTTTGAGTATCTATTGTTTGCCCTTGTGTTATGGTGGTTGAAGTTGAAGTAGTGATTGACAGGTAGGACATTGTAGTAGACAATTTTGTGTACTAAGCTTGGGTAAGACCGTAGGTGGCGTAATTCTAAGAACCTATCGATCCACAAAAATGTTTAGAGAATGATCCTATGTAATTACTCAATTCTACTAACCACATAAAATTTACTTGACACGGGGATGGCAATTATTCAGTGGCTGGGGGCTGAAATTAACATTTTTAAGGAAAGATAAAGTTCATAGACAGTGGGGCCGTGCCATGCAGAAGAAGAAGCTTTTTTGATGAGAAGCGAAACGTCTTCAAAGAAAAACAAGGAAGTCCAGTTGCCTCTTGAAAAAGCATCTTTGGGACGACCGTGACCCAAATGACTGAGAATCTCCATAGAAATTTACTCCTGATGTTTGACCACGGTGTTTTTAAGGGTCTGACAGTAATATCTGATCTACAACATGGGGATTTGGGACAAAGGAAGAGTTCTCAACACATCTTTGATCTGGTTTCTCCTCTACTTGGCAGGCGGAATGGATCCAGCAAGACATCACCAGTGCCTTGCTGGATTTCAACACAGGAGGAAATACCCAACGGATGGAAGCCCTGAGGTAAATGCACAGCCTAAGACCCATGGCTGTGATGGGACAGCTTCAAACGACCATAAGCGACTTTAGTCAGGAACAACAAGTCAAGTCTTAGAGTTAACAAAGACAGGGGTGAGGAACTATGTCCCCTTTATTACCTGAAAACTTCAACTCCCAGAATTCCTAAGCCAGTATGGCTGCCTCAGGAATTCTAGGAGTTGAAGGCCACAGGTCATAAAGGGGCCATAGTTCCTCATCCCTGATCTAAGACACTACTGCCAGAAAAGTTGATTCCCAGCAGAGCTGTGTGGTGGGCGAAGGTCCACACCTTCTTCCTTACCAGCTGCTTTTCTGCTTTTCTAGATTTCTCTCTGCAATCACATCACCTCTGCAAGTTCATTTCCCCTTCAAAACCATATCCACCATACAACTTGGACTGAGAGAGAGTAGGATTGTCTAACTATAGGTAGTTCTCCACTTACAATCATAACTGGAACTAGAATTTCCATTGCTCAGCAAGGCAGGCATTAAGTGGGCCATGCCCAACTTTATGCCACAATTGTTAAGCAAATCACTGCAGTTTTTAAGCGAATCATCCAGTCCTTAAGCGAATCTGGCTTTTCCAATTGACTTTACTTGTGAAGGTCACAGGTGGTGAGCTAGGGCATTGTCAAGGCACGCTACCTGCCACCACCTGAATTTTGATCATGTGATCTTGGAGGTGTGGTAATGGTTGTAAATGCAAGGATTGGTCATAAAGTCATTTCTGACTGGCAGGCTGCTATAGAATATATAGACCTACTTTGATTTGAGGAGGAGAAAAATAACTTCCTGGGATTATAGGAGGGAAGGTAGAAACTAATCAAGGAGAGAAGCAACCTAGAACTAAGGAGAAATTTGCCCGAGAGAACCAGTGGAATGGCTTGTCTTCAGAAGCTGTGGATGCTCCAACACTAGAGGTTTTTAAGAAGCGATTGGACGACCATGGTATATAGGGCTTTCTGCTGGATCAGGAGGCTGGCCTAGAAGACCCTTCAAGATCCCTTCCAACTCTATTATTCTGTTAATCGGTGATCAATGGGTCATGGGTTGTCTAGATATCTGTTATAGATTCTTATGATGCTGACTGTGGTGTGGAATGTTATATAAATCAGAAGCCAACATGCCTCCCTGGGTTGAATATAACCCCAGAAGTGCTTTTGAGCATTCCCTCCTCCAAACAATGTCTTCGTTTCCCATTGTTTTGACCAGGAAGAGCTTGAATCTCACATACAATGCAATACATACAACACAAAATCCCCACCCTCAAGCTCTAGAGCAAGTGTCTCCAAACTTGGCGACTTTAAGGCAGGCGGATTTCAACTCCCAGAATCCCCTAGCCAACATGCTTTAAGATATGTGGACTTCAAGTTCCAAAATTCTCCAGCCAGCATAGCTTTAAGGCTTGTGGACTTCAGCTCCCAGAATTCCCCAGCCAGCTATGAATGAGATTCAACTATGGGAGCTGAAGCCCACAAATCTTATAGTTGCCAACTTTGAAGATCCAAGTTTGGAGCAAAAAATATCCCATCCCTACTTACATAGTCTTAGCAATGTTGCAATGTTGTCCCACTCATTATGTCCCTAAGGTCCCTTCAATATGTTTGCTTCTCAGCCCATAAAATATTGCCCATCCCCAGCTTGGAAGTTATACAGTGTAAGATGGAAAGGAGGTTGCATTATCCACTGGATATCCGTCTTTCTCTTTGGATCTCAGACTCTATGTTTCTTGTTTACAGAGCTACCCAAAACATGCTTGATAATCAGGAGGTCTTCTCTCAGCCTCCTATGCAGGTTCCTTCTAGGACAAAGATTGTTGCACCAGGGCCAAGAGAAGATGGTAAGGACCTTAGACTAAGCCCCACAAGCTTTTATGGAGGAGGACATTTGGAGAAGAATCATAACTCCTTGATAAATTATATGCTATCCATCCAGGTGGTCTTTAAGGCCAATTTCTAGCATTTCCAGTTAAGTAGCTCTTGATCCCAAAGACTTAGAAGAAATTACAGGTTCTGGCATAGCATTAAGGAGTTTCCTAGCTTCATATATGAATTGACTTTAATGGGACCTTCTTCTAGAACAGCTTGCAAGAAGTCATGTTGCACCCCAATGTTTTACTTTGAGTTGCAGGGAACGATCCAGGAATCCTTCCCATCAAGAGCATTTCAGCCACAAATAGGCCTGTCTAAATCTTTTGTCTGGTCCCTTCATGATTTGCCTGGGTTACTTTGGCTAAAATAAGCATGGTATACAAAATTCCCCCTCCCCCCCAAAAAAGCTGAAAGCATTGGCCTCATTCTTAAGGTTGTTGCCATGGTATTGTTGTACACCCTAGTCATCAGACACCAAAGAGCAGGAAAATGAGGTTCCTCATGCTGCTCATATGATTGTGGGAGTCACAGAAGAAGACACAGAAGAAGACATAGTCTTTTCCTGCCACTGGGCTCTTCAGGACAGACTAATCCTCTTTGTATCCCAGCAAAGTTTAGCGATAGTTTCGTAAATTTTTCATTTTCCTCCTGTTTTCCAATTTTTCATTTTTCTCCTGTTTCCAGCCATCTTGGTAGGAGAACCTGATCTGGCCATCATCCAAATAGAGCAAAACGTGGTGAGTTAAATGGGAAAATTAATTGTTGCTGTTGGCTTTTATATAAAGGAGATTTGGAGAAGGGGATAGGGAAGAAGAGATGGTCATTCACTTAATGATGGTGGCATTTGCGTAATGACCACAAATTCACTTGATGACCCCTGCAAGAAAGACTTTTAAAATTGGGCCGGTCGTGTAATTGACTTGCTTTATGGCTGTTATGAGTATAACCGTGATGGGCAGGCTCCATTATAATCGTAACTCAAGGACTCCCTGCAACAGGTTTAAAAAGTGTGACAACGAAACTAGTAATCACAGTACAGAAATTAATAAGGAGCATCCAAATTCACTTTATTTCCCAAAGGCCTTTTTGATGAGCCATGTTCTCATGTCACTTGTTTCTTGCTCAGTACAAACAAACCAATTTTTTTTTCCCATTCTCTTTATGGCCTGTGTGCCTCCGGCAGGAGCTGCTGAACCGGGTTTTTGATGATGTGGAAGCCTTTGTGAGAAAGCTGCAGAAATCTGCAGAAGCTTTCCGTGTCCTGAATCAATGCAAGCGCTCCGCAAGAGGGCGCCTTCGAGAGCCAGGAGGTGAGATGATTGGCTGGGAATGCAGAAGGCTGCTAGAGAAACAGGAAATACTTTTAAAGTCTGGCCCAATCAGAATCTTTCCGTGAGTTCTAACTCCGTCTCCAGAATGATTCTAGAATTTAGAGATTTACACCTGATGAGATCAGGAAAAGGATCTTCTCGGTGGTGGCCCCTTCCTTATGGAACATCTTTTCCCTAGGGTATGATTCCCCGCCCCCCTTGCTAAAAAGGCGTTAAAACTGTGGTTTTGTTAGTTAGCAGGTCTAGAGACCACGAAAAGAGACAGGCCAATCAAGTTGGTTTGATTGTGTTTTTGCTGCCGTGTGTGTGTGTGAGAGAGATTTTTTTTTTAATGGATTTTTATTATACAGTGTAAAATGCTGGGTGGCGATATAAATTTGTTTAGTAAATCCATGAAAACAAATAAATTTGTCGGAATCCACAAAATTCCACTTGGCTTGGAAACTTTTCCCTTCCATCATGGGTCTCTGCACTTGATCTCCCGACAACTTCAGAAGCGCCTTCTGCAGTTGCATTATTCTTTTTTTTTTTTTTTGCACAAGTCAAATGAGCTTTTTGGCCCAAAAAGTTTTTAGAGCCACTAGTTCTAAAAGACAAATCCAAGGCCTACAAACATAATTAGACTGCCATCAATATTGTTGAGCTGCTCTGTGTAGAAGATATCTGTGACCATGAGCCTTGATCTCAATCCCCCAAAAAGATTTGAGTCTTAGGGTTGGGAGTTCACTAGCCCCTCCATATAGATGGGAGTTGCAGGGAGATTTTTTTAATGTTTCTTTCTTATCACAAACACAGAGGGGCTCTTAACCATTAGAGCAAAACCTCCATCCCAAGAGGAGTTTGAAGACACTCTGTCCAAGATCAAGTATTCCTTTAGCCTTCTGGTGAGTTTTGTGTATACTTTTTTCTACCAAGAAAATGAAAGGTATCTCCTTGGGTTACGCTTACAACTAAATTATACTTTCTTCCCCACCACTTTAGGCAAGGCTGAAATCCAACATCACATGCCCTACTTCAGAGGAGCTAATATGTATTCTTTTCAAACCCTTGAAGATGGTAAGTGCTGGGTTGAAGAAGAAGAGGAGATGAAGTATCTGGTAGCTGATTTATTAATAGTGTGTTTCTCGATCTTGCATCTTCCAAATGTGTAGACTTCAACTCCCAGAATTCTCCAGTCTCTATGGACATGGCCTAGAATACTGGGAGTCGCCAAGACTGGGAAACAATAGATTGATAGATGTAGAAGGGCAGTTGGATTGTAAAAGCAGCAGAATGACACGGAACTATGCTTAAGGGACATATGACCACAACTGAGCCCAAAATTTCTGTGGCTAAGAGAGACAATTGTTAAGTGACTCGTGCCCCATTTTATGACTTTTCTAGCCACAGTTTTTAAGTTAAGCACTGCAGTGGTGAAGTTAGTTACACTCATTAGGTGAATCTGACCTTCCAGTTGACTTTGCTTATCAGAAAGTCACAAAAGGAGACCACAGGACTCCAGGACACTGCAACTGTCACAAATATGAACCAGTTGCCAAACGTCCAAATTTTGATCATGTGATGAAGGAGAGATATTGTGACAATTGTAAGTGAGAAAAAAAACTACCACAAGTCACTTTTTTCAGTGCCTTTGTAACTTTGAATGGCCACTTAGTGAACTGTTATAAATTGAGAACCAACTGTATATATACTGTATACTTGTTTACTGTATACTTGTATACAGTATACTGTATATATATTGTATACTTGTACTGTATACTTGTTTAAGTAACAAATGTGAAATGTGAAATTGAATTCCATAGGATAGGGAAGAATTCCTGCATAGCAAAAAGCAAGAAGACTAATATAGGACACTTTCTTTAGCATGCTTGGTTTCTGTATTCTTTTTTTTTTTGGGGGGGGGGGGAATAAAATACTTTGGGCTTCAGTTCCATTAGTTGAAGAGTTGTGTGATAAAATCCATGAAAAACTTTATCGTGGGATTAGATTGCACATATCAGTGATTGCTTGCAACATTATATCCTACTTCACCAGGTTTGAAATTTTGGGCTTGGACAACCTAGAACTACGTTGCCTATGGTTGGACTATGTAGTACACAAAATTATCTGCTGCAATATCCTACCAGCCAATGACTACTTCAGCTTCAGCTGCAACAATACAAGAGCACACAACAGATACAAACTCAATGTATTTTGCTCAAAACTTGATTGCAGAAAGTATGACTTCAGCCACAAGTGGTCAATGTCTGGAATGCACTACCTGACTCTGTTGTTACATCCTCAAACCCCCACTCCTTTAACCTTAAACAATCCACTATTGACCTCACCCCATTTCTAAGAGGTCTGTAAGAGGTGTGCATAAATGCATAATCGTGCCTACCATCCCTGACCTATTGTCTCCATTTATTCATATCTATTTCCTGTATTCTTACTCATGTTTATACTTATTCCTATTATCTTGTAAGTGATTGACAAATCGAATAAATAAATAAAAATAAATAAATTCCTAGATGAGTGTACATTTCTCTGGAAAAAGATGGAGTCTCCAGAGGAACAGATTATCTGGAGTCTGATTTTCATTTCCCATTTCAGATTGTGGATGCTTCTGGGGGTGTGGAATTTGCTTCTGAATTGCACAGTCCCATGATAACTCTAGAAGCAGCGACTTTGATGCATAGCTGCTTAGGAGAGTGGGAAACAGAACTGTGGCATTCTCTGGGTGAAAACTGGACTAAGCCCAGGTAAGGGGATTTGGGTTTGTTTTCCCTTGTTATTATTTTTGCCCTCTTAATTTTTTTCCCCTATAGGATGTGGTTTAATCCATTCACTTCCACTTCTTTCTTCTACAGTTTTCTAACTACTACAATTTCCTTATTCCTTTCTTGAGATGCTATTGGCCAAGGATCTCCAAACTTGGCCATTTTAAGACTCGTAGACTTCAACCCCCAGAATTCCTCAGCCAGCCATGCTGGGAGTTGACACCCACAAGTCTTAAAGTGGGCAGGTTTGGAGACCCTTGCTATTGGCTATTTAATTTTGGTGAAGTAGCCCCCTCTGCCTCTCAACTGAAGTGATATCACAGATGATCTGGATCCACAAGCAAATTACTTAATAAGGATTGGAACTTTGGAGTTTGAATTCCAAAATCTTCTCCAAGATATTAGACCATTTCATTTATGACATAAATATGGTGGGTCTGTTGACACATGTTGCCTGAGTGGTTTATTTAACTTGCAATGATTGAAAATGTGATGAATTTGGCTCCTTCCTTCCAATTCACATTATTCTTATTATTTGTTTTGTCCATCAAGAGTGGATTTCCCCAGGGGCTATGCAGCTCCCTACAACCTAACTTTCTGCAGTGGCTGGGAGCCTCCTATCCAGGATGCTTTTGGGAAACCTTGGGAAGACCCAGTAGAGATGCAACACCGCCATGAAGAACGCCGCGCCCAGGTCAGTATTGTGATGAGAAGCAGATAGGAGAACATAAGCTTGCATTCTTAGCAACAGAATGACTATAAAAGGTTCTGCAGCTACTTGGAACAGTTGAAGAAGTAGGTTATCTTTGCCTACATTGTATGCTGCAAATTTTGATTGATTTTGTGTCAACAAGATATATCTTCTCAATCTCCAACTTGGTCTTCCAAGTCTTCTAATAGCACACCCATTGCCACTGTAACTGAGTTCATCCATCTTGATATTGGTCATCCCCGTCTTGTCTTTCACTTTCACTTTCCCAACTTTATAGACTTTGGTGTATTCATTTTGCTGAATTTCAAACGGGAAAGGTCATTGTTGTGCAAGCAGCTCATTTCTTTAGTACCAAATGTCTGAAGTAATGCTGCAATGAATCTGTTGCTTTTGCTTGTGGAATATTTTTTCAGACAAGCAACATCCATTTTATTTGCACCATTTGGATGACTTTGGAGGTTAAATTGGCACAGGGATTTCCACAGGTTTAGGATATTTACAGTTTTACATTTGTAGCTGTCTAAGAGCCCTCCTTGCCTTTTGGCTGCTAGAAAAAACAAAACCTAAGCAGCCTCCATAAGCCCCTCCTGGTCCATAGTCTAACGTGTTTATTATTATTTCTCTGTTTATTTAAATTTATAAGTTTGGCCAGCTCCACCATGACTCTTGGCTTACAACAATAAAAACAGTACAAACACCATATAGCAAAAAAAAAAAAAAAACCCAACAACCCCACCACCTCTGCCTTGCATATCCCCCTGCATAAAAAGGGCAGCTCAACAGACATTATCCTATAATATTTATAACCCACTTTAAGACTTGGGGAAAAGCTATGATTTCACGGTCTTTCAAATGAGGGCAGGGAAGGAGTTCTAGGATCTTCAGAGGGAAGCTATTCCAGAGGCTGGTGGAATGACAGAGGAAGCCCACCTCCTGAGTCCCATCACATGACATTGTTTAACTGGGAGGACTCAGAACATACCAAATTAACTTTCCCTCCTTATTATATTTTTAATCAGAGAGCCATCCAATTGGATGAGACCAAAGGAGCCAGCCTAAGACTTCTCCGTGGCCAATCCCATGCTTCTAGGAAGCATGCATATTTACTAGATTGCTCATTTTTCCAGAAAAGAAATAGGCTATAGAAGAATAGCAATAGCACTCAGACTTATATACGGTTTCATGGTGCTTTACAGCCCTGTCCAGGCAATTTACAGAGTCAGCATATTACCCCACCAACAATCTGGGGCTTCATTTTACCAATCATGGAAAGATGGAAGGCTGAGTCAATCTTGAGCTGATGAGGATCGAACTCCTGGCGGTGAGCCAGATTAGCTTGCAATACTGCATTCTGACCACTGCGCCACTATGGCTTCATGTATTCCTGAATGCTTCAGGAGCAAGCCTAGACAATGAATCTTCCTCCTGTTTTCCAAGAGGAAACAGGACCCTGTTTTTACAGAGTCAGCATATTGCCCCCAACAATCTGGATCCTCATTCAAAATTGAACTCAGGAAAGAGTGCCGAAAAGAGCAACAAAGATGATTAGGGGGCTGCAGGCTAAAGCATGAAATAAGCCATATTCCAATACTTAAGGAGGTCAACATATTTTCAAAGCACAAGAAGAGAAGAGAAGAAGCAAGGGATGGAAATTGATCAAGGAGAGAAGCAACCTAGAACTAAGGAGAAATTTTCTGATGGTTGAAATAATTAACCAGTGGAAAAACTTGCCTTCAGAAGTTGCAAATGCTCCATCACTGGAGCATTTTAAGAAGACAACCATTTGTCTGAAATGCTATAGATTCTCCTGCTTGAGCAAGGGGTTAGACTAGAAGACCTCCAAGGTCCCTTCCTACTCTGTTATTCTGTTATGTTATCCCCACATACCACCACAGATCGCTTGAGGAAATAGCTTTGTAACTAGTTATGTTCCTGATAAGTCCCTCAACTTTGAAAGAGTAACCATGGCACATTCTTTAAAAATTAAGTGTTTTTGCAACCCAAACAAGTGGAGGTTCTAGTTCACTTTTAATTACTGGTAATTCCAATTATACATTCCGTATAATTCCTGTCTGTGAACTGGAGGGAGAATTTGAGAAAGAGTGACTTGAGATGGACCTAAACTAACTTTACTGTTTCTCTATTTGCAGCAATCGGCTCCCACAATTGCAGCCAATGGGTAAGATATTGGTGAACATTTTGAGAATGGATTGATGATTTGGGGAGATAAATGGGGAGTTTGGAAGAGAGGATTAGCATTTAGAATTTAAAGAAAAATTAAAAGGGAAGGTTAGGAAAAACAAGGATTTTAATGATTAGGGCAGGATTGCCTGTAGAATTAGTTTCCACTCCTGCACACCTACATATATATTACCAGTACTTCTTGTAAACATACAATTTTAAAATTAACTCCCCATGCAGGAGCAACAAAAAAGTGGCCCAGACTGAATGTTCAAAGTATTGCCCCTTTATACAATAGTCCTTGTTCAGCGACTGCCTCATTTAGTGACTACTTGCAATTATCATGGTGATGATAACTTTATGACCAGTTCTCACATTTACGGCCTTTTCAGGACTGTAAAGCAAAGGAAAGCTGAAGAAAGATCATAAGCACTATTTCACTTAGCAACCATTTCACTTAATGACCAAGTTGTCCATTCCAATTCTAAACAAGGACTATCTGTATATATCTTTTATATAAAATGGAGCAGAACTTTAATGGTGCATCTGCAGTTTCCATCTTGGCTTTTCTGAACAACACCTGCAGATGACCCGGATCTGATTTAAGATGTAGGAACTTTCAAAGAGTTGTAGAGCCATCTCATAATGCTATATTTGTATGATTCCAAAGATTGGTCATTCTAGATCAGCATTGGGTCTCCTATGAGTTTCTACAATAGGCCAGGAGGAAATGCCAAAAGAGCTATTTCTAATCCCTGGGTTTTAAAGAGGAAGTGAAAACATTGCATATTTGGGACAAGCAGAATGCATGAAATGTTGGAGAACGTAGAGCTTCTCCACTTCATTAGATGAAGAAGTTCCCAGTTCTGTCTTCCTCGGTCATTGATCATCACCCCCAGTATTATCACCACTGTAGCATTAACAAAACTAATATGAATTGAGGTGCCTGTCTTGCTGGGGACACAGTTCCTATCCCTTCCCTGATCTCACTGGGAAGAGAACTTTCGAGGAGGAATGAAGTGTGCGGTAATGGTGTACGGTAAGAGTAACTCCTTAGGAATTGGGGTGAGGTGTGCAAGGATTTGTCATGGGGCCTTTTAGAGGTTGGTGATCAGATTGGATAAATTGGGTAAAGTGTTTGAACATTTAGGAGGTTTTCTCAGATTGAAAATTGTGAGTTGTTTATGAAATGCTTAGGTCAATTCTACATTGCTTTTTTCCCCTTCTCTTTCTTCTTTTTCAAAAATCTATTTTTCTATTTTTCTCTGTCTGTCTGTCTGTCTTTGCTCTGGGAATAGCTGGATCCGGTGGTAAAAACAAAGGATAGGAGCTAGCTAGGGAGATGGTGGTGGTAGGGCCCTCAGAGGCTTAGCTTAGGGCAGGTGATGGTGTGTTGCAGTTAATAATTGCAGGTTCTTGCCAGGGTGAAGGGTGCTTTTGGTGATCAGCAACCATTAGATGTTGAGCAAGGACTTCAAATTGTTGTCCTCAGTCTGAACTTACAAGTATTGGTAGCTAGGAATCCAATTGGCCCACCATGCCTTCAGGGAATGAGGACCTCTGAAAACAGAATTTGACAAGTGACATAAAATTCTCATCAAGACTTCTGTATTTCAGTCCTGTTTCAATTCTCTTCCTTCTTTTAAGAAATAGTTTTATCTTTTTATTATTGAATAGTAAGAAATTCTTGAGAAGTTGTCAGAATGGATGTTTCTGGCTTAGCTTCCAGAACTTGTAAGTTCCTTCTCTTGTGGTTTTCTAAATTTATTTATCCCAAGATCTCAAGAGTCGTGATTCTTGCCAAGATCAAAATGAGCCAATATATTCTGGCATGTCAATCTTCGCTCAACTTATTGATGTTTAATCTGTTCTGTAGTGCTTTGAATTGAGCTATACTGACAAAAAATGTTTGTATTCCAAATGCTATTTTAACTACCGTATTTATCGGCGTATAACACGCACTTTTTCCCCCTGAAAATAGGGGGCAAATGATGTATGCGTGTTATACGCCGATGTCCCGTTCCCAATAGTGCCTAGCGGCGGCGCAGCGTCGTGACGCTGCGCCCGCCGCATATTAAAGGGAATGTGTGTTATACGCCTGTGCGTGTTATACGCCGATAAATACGGTATCTCTCAGACAGTCTAAGAATTATATCATGATTAGGTTAACAAAGATTAGTTGTCTAGGGAAACAGGGTACCTGTTAAAATTAGTTTTTAAAGTTTGTAGCATAAATAAGCACATAATGACTTACTCAAAAGCTAAGAATAACTAAACTAACAAAAGATGTACCAATTGTAGAGGCCTTGTATTAAACTAGTTAAGTACTTAATGGAATTTCCTTCTTAATCTTTTCTTGCACACATTCATACATTCTGATTAACTTATTCATACAGGCACATTTGCAGATATGAGGAAGCACCTAATAATCAGTTCATAATGTGGCAGGCAGGAAGGGGAATCTCTCATAATTCTCAAACTAAATTAAAATCAGATGACTATTTTGTAGTGGCACTAGAAATTCTGGATTTGACAAGCACTGCTTGAGTGCAAAGATAAAACTAAAACTTTCAATGTGTCACTAGAATAATTGTTACTGATAACTTCTCCCTTTTTTTCTTGCTTAGAATGGAAAGGTGTCTGTGTTTTTTTTACAAGCTGGAAAATGAGCTAAAACATATCCATGCTAAATATAAACAAGTTTAAGGCCAATGACATGGCTTTCCCAAAAGATAACTGAGAAACATAGTACCACAGAATTGGAGAAAATTCTTAGTTCAATTCTGGGCCACATAATGTGTTTGCCCTGTGGGAGAACTCTGGGATTATGTCTTGGAGTAAACAAAAGAGGAAGAAGCTAGTAAAAACGGGCTGCTATAAAGAAGGTAGAATTGTTGTTTCTGCTTATAACAGCTCATTTTTATAGCCGTGCCTGGAAAAATGAGCAAGTAAAGGAGAGCCTTAGAAGAATGGAAAGACAATTAATAGTTTCTCTTGTTAGGAGTGTATATGTATATGTGTGTACATGCACACATACATAAGCACGAATGTTTTCCCTCCTTTTCTCTACCTCGTGGTGGAGATAGCATCATTCTCAACCACCAATTTTGTTGTATGTTGGGAATAGGCCCCTCTCAAAACTTGGATAACAGACAACTGTTATCTTCAAACATGATACAAAAGGATCAGACAGGGTTCATCCTAGTGCCCAACTACCCGTATATCAGGGGTGGGATTCTGTCAGTTTGCACCTATTTGCTAGAACCGGTTGTTAACATTCTAAGCAGTTCAGAGAACCGGTTGTTAGAAGAAATTACTGGCCTAATCCTGTAAGGAAGGCAGGAAGGAAACATTCTGGTGTTGCTTGAAGAAACTGCCTCTCCGTTAACCCTTATTACATTCCTGGCAGGACTAGACTTCCTGTCTCAGGAACTTCTCTGGAATTTTTTCCCCTCCTTTGCTGGTACTTTGTTTGTGTGGAGTGACTATTCAAAGTTACAATGGCACTGAAAAAAACGACTTATGACCATTTTTCACACTTTTTCAACTGTTGCAGCATCCCCACACAGCCATGAGAGGCCAGGCGAGGAGATGCGTGCCTCGATGTGACTGATATTGAGTTGGTCACACCCAGCCAATAACATGACTTCCAAGCCATGCCCACCAACTAAGCCACACCCACAGAACCGGTTATTAAAAATTTTGAATCCCACCCCTGCCATATATTTATAGTATAATTTGCCCACCCGTTGTCAAAGTTGGATGATCGTGAAGACAGAGCCAGTTTGGCCTAGTGGTAAAGGTACCAGGCTAAAAACTAAGAGACTGTAGTTTTAGTCCTACTTTAGGCATGCAAGTTGGCCGGGTGACTTTGAGCCAATCACCAGGAGACTGTGAGTTCCAGTCCCACCTTAGGCACGGAAGCTGGCAGGTTGCCTAAAGACAGTTACTCTCTCTGTCTCAACCCAACTCACCTCACAGGTTTTTGTGAGGAAAATATGAGGAGGAACCAGTATTAGGTGTGTTCGACTTCACCACCTTTAGTTATTTATAAAAAATAATAAAAGAAGAATATTAATAAAAATCATTGCAACATTTTCAGATAATATTTCCACACTCGGTTTCATGCTGTAAAACTTAATTGATTTCAATTTCTAGAATATCCCCAACACATGCCCTAAAGTCTAAAAAAAGAACCCCAAAAACGTGTCTGTGTGCAGATTAGAAAGGCTGAGCCCAGTTGTGCAACTGAGGACTACAAGTTTCACTTAGTAAACATTGCAAGATTTCCAGTTCTTTTGCAAGGAATGTAAAATGAGGCAAGGATGAAGCAGTTCTTTTTTTTAAGCCAGTACCCTAATTATGCAGTTTTGTTTGGTCCAACTCTTATGGAAGCGAGGCCCACTTGATTCCCTCACTGTTGGTGAGGATCACTTTATGACTGTCACATCTTACGAGGAGGCTCCATTGTGGACATGTTGAAGTCTACCTGTATCTGGCGCTTCCCCTCCATTTTCTCATACAACAGCAATCCTAGGAGGAGGAAGGTTTGGCTGAGAATGATTGGCAGAAAAATAAAGTAGAACCTGGATCTTCCCATGCCAAGTCCAACTGCTTTACCAGATCTCATGCCGTCTGTTGATATACATCGCTTTCCCAATAGTTCTCCTGAAAACGTTCCCTGTTCTCCCTTGTGTTAATATGAGCAGGGTTGTGGTAAAAAGCACACTCTGATATTGGCCAAGCTATACCCTGATTCTTTTGCAGTCAAACAGCGTGCAGTAAGTTCATAATGTACAGGAGCAGAGAACAAAAGAACAAAGCAATAGCACAAGGAACAGCTCAAATAATTTCGGGAACCTTTTATCCCTTGGGGACCCAGGGAGACAGGGACTTGGCAGGGAACCAACGAACAAAAGGCCAAACCCAGCCCTTTCCCTGGAGAGACAAAGAGAGGAAGGATACTTGGGTCTCCCAAGAAGTCCAGGGGAATAAAGTTGAGCACCAAGACTTGAGAGCCCAGATTATCTTAAAATGCCTGTCGGGGGCGTGCATAAGCGCACCAATCGTGCCTACCGTCCCTGTCCTATTGTTGTTGTTTTTTTAATTTTTCTTATAAGTATCTATCTCATGTATTCAAAACTATATTTATTCTTATACCTGTATCTTGTAAGCGATTGACAAATCAAATAAATACTAAAAAAAAAATGTGTTGAAGCAGAACAAGAAAAGAACGGAAGAGGAATTCAGTTCTTTTCTTCTCTGCTGACCTGGTTTGGATGAGACTCTGATGCATGAGAGCGAAACAATTAAGGGAACTCAGCTCTGAAAATAGGAAGAAGATTGGAGGAGAGGCAGAGAGACATGAGAGTTTTCCACAAGGCAAGAAGCAGGAGTCAGGGACCAGGTGTTTTGGTGGTGGGCATGGAAGGGAAGCGTAACAGAACAAAAATGAGAAGACAGTGGTTTAAAGAAAGATGGCGCCCAGAAGAAAACCAAGAGGGGGACACTAGCCAGCCAGTGAAGGTAGGATTGGAGTGGGTTGGGAATTGGGTGTCTCCTTTTCTTTTTCTTCTTGAATTCCTATCCTTCTCAGAACCAGTTTGCAAGATGGGTGTCCCAGCCAGTCCAATTCTGATCCTCATAAAATCTAGCTGGAGGAAGGATTGCAGATACTGTAAATGGTTCAGAGTGTCTTTTCCTGGTAGGAAATGCCATTTATTACAAGAGAGAGGCAACTGGTGTAAGCTAATGTCTCATTTTGACCTTTCCTGGTCATTATCTATTCCTTCCTTCTATATCACATTTTTTTCCCTGTTCTGTAATTGGGCAACCTTTGTGAATCTGAGCATGACTAGAGTTGGTCACTTTGCTACTGTGACGTGCTAATTGATGGTAACACCTAGCCATCTTGCAATCTTCTTTCACATCATTTTTATTGGCTGGATGCATGAAATTTAGGATGAATAGATACACAATTGCATGACCCCCTAAGCCCAGTATATATTAAATAAAACCTACATAAAAAAAGAAAAATCTAAATTTGAAATAAAGATAGTTAATCTGTTTAAAATTTGCTACATGACTTAAATTGAAATTCGCACAATGCCCAAATTCAGTATCAGTGTCAATTTAAGATATTGAAGGAAGCGCTCGATATTTATATTCAGTTCAATAAAACAGAAGTTACCACTACAGTATTAACTCTGTATTTGGTAGGTACCCTTTCATTCTTTATTATGCTTACACATCTAGATTAAAATGGCATGGTGCAAATAATATTTCACAATTGATTTACTAACCCTCAACTATTAACTAGATTAACCCTTATTTATTAACATTTAAAATGTATAGTAGCTTAATTAGTTGATGACACAAGAGTTGTCAATCATTTCATCCCATTGACCAAACTTCTTCTGCTCATTTCTCTATCTCATCTTTGTCTTTGCTGTGATTTCAAGCTCTATTGAAATTTTCAGGACTTCTGGGCCTTTAATTAGAAGTATCCTTATTTTGGGTTCTTTTTTTTTTTAATGGATCAGCTTTGTTTCCTGTCAAGAGCAATATTGCTTAATTTTTTATTACTCTTTCTTACTCTTTGTATTTTTCTTGTTCAACAGCACGGTTTCACAGGTTTTTTTTAAAATGCAGTGTTTTAATTATGCTGACAGTTGTAGAAAAAAAGAAAACTTAATGTAGAAACAACCATTCTTTTAGTCAATTACATCAGCGGGTCTTCAACCCCTGGGCTGTGGCCCGTGGCCCATGGCAAAAATGGGCAAGCATGCTCCCTCGTGTGAGCGGAGGGCGCTTGATCAGAGGGTGCTTGTGTGCGAAGTCCACTCGCACAACTGGAGCTTCATACACAGGCTTGTCCATTTCTCCTGCGGGCCAGTTTCAAACAGGCCATGGCCCAGGAATTGGAGACCTCTGGCGTGTAGCAGGAGTCCCCAATCCCTGGGCCATGGCCTATTTGCAAACAGGTCATGCAAGCAGAGAGCTCGTGCACATGGGCATGCTTGCAGTTCAACTTGCCTCCACTAGTCGATTCGACTCCATGGGTTGATCTGCGTGTGCATGCGCATACAACCTGGTCTGGTGCTCACATGAATGGATCTGCGTGTACATGCGTGCTGGCCAGCCACTTACGCAGCCCAGTTCCCTTCTCCCTCACCAAGCCGGGCTGCTGAGCCCACAAAGGTCGGGGACTGCTGAATTACATGATAAAATTTGCATATATTTGCAAGTAAAGAAGTAATTGAGGGTTTTCACAAGGAGGAGTATTAAAAAATCAAGATGGTTGCTATAGGTAGTCCTTGACTTATAACAGTTCATTTAGTGACCGTTCAAAGTGACAACAGCCCTAAAAAAAGTGACTTCAAACCATTTTTCACACTTACGACCTCTGCAGCATCCCCATAATCACATGATCAAAATTCAGACACTTGGCAACTGACTCATACTTATGATGGTTGCAGTGTCCCAAGGTCATGTGGTCACCTTTTGTGACCTTATGACATGGAAAGTCAATGGGGGAAGCCAGATTCACTGAACAACCAGGTTACTAAGTTATCAGCTGCAGCGATTCACTTAGTGGCAAGAAAGATGATAAAATGGGGCAAAACTCACTTAATAAATATCCCAGCAATAGAAACTTCGGGGTCAATTGTGGTCATAAGTTGAGGACTACCTATATGTCATCAAAGCCTGAACCTTTCTATGTGCATCATAATATGCATAAAAAGGAGAGGGTTGACTTTTTTGACCCACATGCCACCCCAGGCGCCCCCGGAAACAGTAGTTCTAAAGAAGAAAATGCATGACTTGTTTTTATACATTGCAACCGTAGCCTGTTAAGAATAATTCCCCCATCTCTTTCTGGTGAGCATTCGTATTTATATGAAGATGGGTTATGCCACCTGCAGGTTTAGAGAAAAGATCTGTGTGTTTAATAAGAGGCACTTTAAAAAGAAACGAAGTGAATGAATAACTTGTGTGGCTTTAGAGTAAACTAAATGAAAACCACATCTCTGTATAAAGGTCTAAGACAGAGAATGTTTCCATCAAAGGGAATAGTGAAAGGAATGGAGGATGAGATAGACATAAACCTGTGAGTAGTCATCTCTAAAACTTTCCATAAAACATTATGACACTCCCCACCTCCATCTAAAACTGTTTCCATTCGTGACAGATGAGGGAAACAAGAGAGCAAATTTGCAGCAGTACCCAAGGTTTTCTGATTCTCAGAAAATATGAAATGAAAAAATAAAGTTTTCTGGGTCTAAATTGGATGACTAGCACGGAGGAAAATCTGTAAAGAATCCATACTAGGATATACGTAGACAGTGGTACCTTGGTAGTCCACTGTTTTGAAACTCAATGAATTTGATACCCAAAACATTTTGACATGAAAATTTTGTCCCGCTACTCATTGTTTGTTTGGTGCCCAATGCACAAGCTAGAATTTGTTGACGTCAGCTGCTATGTGACCCACTACCTTGTTCTTTATAGCAAAATTTTATTTGGTACTCTTCACTTCCCAAAACTAATTAACAACAAGTACAGAGGTACCACTATAACTGAAAGATGAGCTCAGCTAAAACAAATTTCTTGACCCTGTGCTAATAGGCAACCTTGTTCCTTAATCCTAAATCAACTTGCTTTGTGAATTCCTTAGATGTGAAATCTGATTGACACAGATCATGGGTATTCTTGCATAAGTCAAATGCATCTTCCTTCTCCCTCACAGGTGCAAACATTTAGAGAGGAAACCAGTGATCTGCACCCACAACTTCACAGCCAGAAACAGCAATGAACTGTCAGTGCTTCAAGGAGATATATTAGAGGTAAATTTATGACCCAGAGTATCAACCATGCCATAACATACAGTGGAATCTTTAATATAAAGAAGATAATTGCATTTGGGAATCCCAAAAGTTCAAAGCACACTGTTGTTTGCCAACCTGAAATTTTAACATAAAAATCAGCTGGATGATTGTGGTTATGAAAATAGGAGAAGACTATTATGCATTTTCACCACCTTAAGTTCCTCAAGAATTACTTACAACATATTTATTTCTTTAGTGTATGGTATGAAATATATGGATAGCAGAAGTAAAGATGTATGGAAAAAAGCAAAAAATAATATGATATGCATAAGTCAATTTTGTAAGATAAAAGAAAGTCAAGAAATTACACATTCAGTTACAAATATATATTTTATTTTAAAATATGTTAGTTCATATAAAATATGTTGATTCATAAAGTAAAATGACTATTCTACTTATATATATATTATATTAATTTT